TCTGTCCTGTTCCCATTCCATCAGGAATTGGGTCTGTCCCATCAGGATCTGGGTCTGTCCCTGTTCCATTCCCATCAAGAGCTGGATCTGTCCCTCCTGTCCCAGTCCGGGTCAAAACTGGGAGGGCCCGGACGGTGCTCGGAGGCTCCTCCCGGGCCGTGGCGCGGGTTCGGGTCCATCCCCGGCCCCGCCGTGTCCCTCACGGTCCCCCCGCTCACGGACACCCCCCAACCCCCCGGCCCCCCCCCCCCCCCCGGCCCCTCAGAGCCCCCGCCATGTCCCGGTGCCCCCCCCGGTCCCTCACGGCCCCCCCGGTGTCCCCCCCCCCCTCACCGTAGCTCATGATGGCGGCGCCGCCTCCTCCTTCCCGGGCGGTAACGGCGTCGCGCGGGCCCCGCCCCCGCGCTCCCATTGGCCGCGCCGCCCCGCCTCCCCCGCGCTCATTGGCCCGCGGCCCGCGCCGCGCGAATCGCGCCTCCCATTGGCGGGCGGCGGCTGTCGCTCACCGCCCTCCCCGCTCGGCGATTGGCGGACGCGGATGTCAGCTGACAGGTGGGCGTGGCCGCCGTGGCTCCGCTCTTGTGATTGGTCGGTGTGGGGGCGGGCTGAGCCGGCTTAGGACCAATAGCGCGGGAGGCGCGCCTTCTGCGCTGGCCACGCCCCCTCCGGCAGCGGCGCCGGTTCCCATTGGCTGGCGGTGCGGTGGCCACGCCCCGTGGGCGGAGCGTGCGGGTCGCCCCCACGTGGACGCCCGGGGGAGGGCGGGGTCACCCACCTGTGTCACGTGTGTGTCACGTGTGTGTCACCCGTGTCACGTGTGTGTCACGTTTGGTGGGGGACACACGAGGGACCCCCCCACGTGTGTCACCCGTGGGCGTGGCCATCATGGGGTGTGTCTTGAGGGGCCCCACCCCTCGTGTCCCCCTGTCCCAAGGATCAGGGACAGATCCCGACATCCCGATGTCACCATTCCCAGGGGTCACGGACAGATCCCGACATCCCGATGTCACCATTCCCAGGGGTCACGGACGGATCCCGACATCCCAATGTCACCATTCCTAGGGAACACGGACAGATCCCGACATCCCGATGTCACCATTCCCATGGGACACGGACAAATCCCGACATCCCAATGTCACCATTCCCAGGGGACAGGGATGTGTCCCAGCCTCCTGCCCCCCTTCCCTGGGGACACGGCTCTGTCCTGATCCATGTCCCCGTGTCCCAGGTCACATCCAGGTCCCAACCTCCATGAGACGTGGCCTCATCCTAATCCGTGTCCCCTCAATCCAGGTGACGAGGTCACATCCCGACCTCAGCGTCCTCTTCCCTGGGGTCAAGGCCACACCCTGATCCCAGTGTCCATTTTTTCCCGGGGTCACGGTCACACCCTGATCCCAGTGTCCACTTTTTCCCAGGGTCACGGTCACACCCTGATCCCAGTGTCCATTTTTTCCCGGGATCAAGGCCACACCCTGATCCCAGTGTCCATTTTTTCCCGGGGTCACGGCCACATCCCAATCCCAACATTCCCCACATCCCACAACACGGCCACATCCAGATCCCAACATCCCTGAGATGTGGCCTCATCCCAATCCGTGTCCCCACATCCCAGCCCTAAACCCACACTGACCCCCCCAGACCCCCATCCCCACGCCCCATCCCGACATTCCGGGTATCCAGAGACTCCGTTCTCCCCCCAAGGCTTCATTTCCAGAACAATTTAATCCATCGTCCCACACTCCCGGGTACAGGAATCACCAGAAACGTCCCGAAAAAGTGGAAATAAAAAAAAAAAAAAAAAAGAAAAAAAAAGAAAAAAAAAGAAAAAAAAGATGAAAAAAAAAATATTTATCCGTTAAAATTCCCTCCGAAATTCGGAAGTTTCGGGATTCCCAAATAAAAATGAATATTCCTTATTTCTACACAAGTCTAGAGTTTAAAAAAGTCGGGTCTATGGAGCTGGGACGAGGAAAAAACCGGGAAAAAACAACAAAGCAACGGTGGAACCGGGAAAAAAAACGGGAAAAGGGGGAAAACTGAGCCGAATCCTCCCGGCGCCGCCACGGCCGGTTCCGGGTGGGAATGCCGGAATTCCCCAGGGATTTCCCAGTTCCCACTGGTGGGTCTCGCCCGCCGCTCCCCCGCGGGGAAATCCCCGGGAATGGGCGGCGGGAGGAGGGCGGCGAATCCGGTGGGAAGGGCGGGAGGGAGGCGGCGGCGTTTTGGTGCGGGAAAAAGGGGGGATTTTGGGAACATGCAACCCCGGAACCGAGGGATTCCGACATCTACGCGCCACTAAATCCGACCGGCGCCTATGGAAAAAACTCGAATATACAGGAACTCGAAGGGTCATGTACAAAATCCACAGCGTTTTCCGGGAACGCGCCCGGAATTCCCTCCGGCCCCCGGCTCCGGCCCCGATCGCCACCGGGAAAGGCGACACCGTTTGTTCTTTGGGTTAAAAAAACACGGATTTCGGGAAGCGAGGAAGGAGGGGGGGGGAGAAGTTCAGCCTCCCCCCGCTCCCCCCCGTCCCGGCGTCGAGTCGTTCCCGCCCCGATGCGGCGGCGGATCCCGGGGGATTCCCGAGGCTCCGCCCCGCGATCCATGTAGTGCTTGTGGCCGGGAATTGTGGCCGGGATTGTGGCCCCCCCCCGGGATCGGAGGGGGGGACGCTCCGGAGGGGCGAAGGCAGCGATCGGGCCCCTCCCCCGCCCCCTTTTCCCAAAAACTCCGGGAGACGGTGGGAGCGGGAAGGGGGGGGGGTGAGGATGGAGGATGTCCCCGTGCCGGGTCCGGAATCGGCGCTACTGGGCCTCGGCCAGGGCCGAGGGGGGCTCGGGGGGCGCCGGGGCCTCGCTCCGCAGCGAATCCGCCTTGGAGAAATTCATGTCCAGGATGTGCCGCTGGAGATGCCGGACCCACTCCTCCTGGATCGACAGCGGGCCCTGGAATTCCACCTCGCAGAACCTGCCGACACAACGCCGCGGCGCCGGTGGGAAAGAGACTCCCGGAAAACGGGGAGGAGGCGGCCGGGAGAATGTTGGGAATTAGGGTTAGGATACAGGGACATCCAGAGCCTGGGAGGCTGAGGAGGAATGGGAATTAAGGATGGGATCCAGGATTAGGGACACCCAGACCCTCTGAAGCTGAGGGGGAATGGGAGTTAGGGATACAGGGATAGCCAGAGATGAGGGGGAATATTGGGAATTAGGGATGGGATACAGGGATAGTCAGAGTTGAGGGAGAACGGGAATTAGGGTTGGCACACGGGGATACTCAGAGTTGAGGAAGAATGGGAATTAGGGATACAGGGATAGCCAGAGATGAGGAAGAACAGGAATTAGGGTTGGGATACAGGGACACCCAGAGCCTCAGAGGCTGAGGGATAATGGGTATGAGGGCTGGGATCCAGGATTAGGGACACAGGGACACCCAGAACCTCTGAAGCTGAGGGATAACGGGAATTAGGGTTGGGATATGGGGGGGACAGGGACACCCAGAGCCTCCAAGCGCCCCAAAAAGAGGGCTGGGGTAGTCGGGCTTCCTGTGTATCCCTGTGTCTCCCTGTGTATCCCTGCAGCTCCCTGTGTCTCCCTGTGCATCCCTGTGGATCCCTGTGTATTCCTGTGTATCCCTGTGTCTCCCTGTGTATCCCTTTGGCTCCCTGTGTCTCCCTGTGTATCCCTGTAGCTCCCTGTGTCTCCCTGTGCATCCCTGTGGATCCCTGTGTGTCCCTGTGTATCCCTGTGGCTCCCTGTGTATCCCTGTAGCTTCCTGTGTATCCTGTGTATCCCTGTGTCTCCCTGTGTATCCCTTTGGCTCCCTGTGACTCCCTGTGTATCCCTGTGGCTCCCTGTGTATCCTGTGTCTCCCTGTGTATCCCTTTGGCTCCCTGTGTCTCCCTGTGGATCCCTGTGGCTCCCTGTGTATCCCTGTAGCTTCCTGTGTACCCTGTGTATCCTTGTGTATCCCTGTGTATCCCCGTGTACTCCTGTGTCTCCCTGTGTTTCCCTGTGTCTCCCTGTGTATCCCTGTGTCTCCCCGTGGCTCCCTGTGGCTCCCTGTGTATCCCTGTAGCTTCCTGTGTATCCTGTGTATCCCTGTGTCTCCCTGTGTATCCCTGTGGCTCCCTGTGTATCCTGTGGCTCCCTGTGTATCCCTGTGTATCCCTGTGTATCCCTTTGGCTCCCTGTGTCTCCCTGTGGCTCCCTGTGTACCCTGTGCCTCCCTGTGCCTCCCTGTTGGTCCCTGTGTCTCCCTATGGATCGGGAATGCTCCCACCTGCACTTGAGGGTGTAGATGTTCCCCACGAACTTGACGAGGGAGGTCTGGGGCGGGCGCGGCACCAGGGAGGGCACCGGGCGCACCCTCGGCGGCGGCGGCCGCGGCTCCTCCAACTTCTGCTGGAATTCTGCCCCTTCCTCCTCCCCCCGGTGCAGGGCGGCGTCCAGGGGCCGGGCCTGCCTCCGCTCGAACTCTGGGACACACGGGAAAAATCGGGATTGGGGGGGTTGGATTATCCCAGACCTCTGCGCCCTCTCCTGCAGGGGAGTTTCGTCTCCTGCAGGGATTCTCCCAATCCTTTCCCGACATCCCAGTGCCCTTCCCGGCAGGATTCTCCCAGACTCCTGTTCCTTCTCCTGCAGGGATTCTCCCAGACCCCTGTTCCCTCTCCTGAAGGGATTCTCCCAATCCTTTTCCAACATCCCAGTGCCCTTCCCGGCAGGATTCTCCCAGACCCCAGTGCCCTCTCCTGCAGGGATTCTCCCAGACTCCTTTTCTCTCTCCTGCAGGGATTCTCCCACACCTCAGTGCCCTTCCCACAGGGATTCTCCCACACCCCTGTTCCCTCTCCTCCAGGGATTCTCCCAGACTCCTGTTCCCCCTCCTCCAGGGATTCTCCCAGACCCCTGTTCCCTCTCCTGCAGGGACTTTTTTTCTCCAGGGTTCTCCCAGATCCCAGTGCCCTTCTCTCAGACCCCAGTGCCCCCTCCTGCAGGGATTCTCCCAAACTCCTGCTCCCTCTCCTCCAGGGATTCTCCCGGACACCAGTGCCCTTCCCGCAGGGATTCTCCCAGACCCCTATTCCCTCTCCCACAGGAATTCTCCCAGCCCCCTGTTTCCTCTCCTCCAGGAATTCTCCCAGCCCCCAGTGCCCTCTCCTCCAGGAATTCTCCCACACCCCAGTGCCCTCTCCTCCAGGAATTCTCCCACACCCCAGTTCCCTTCCTCCAGGAATTCTCCCAGACCCCATTCCCTCTCCCACAGGGATTCTCCCACACCCCAGTGCCCTTCCCGCAGGGATTCTCCCACCCCTTTTCCAAGCCCCCCACGCCCCCCCCCTCTAGAATTCCCGCCTGATCCCACACTCACTGCTGATGTTGGAGCGCTG